AATGGGCACAAATACAGATCTCTTCCAATCAGTTGGCCAGATAGCTATTTTCCAAATTTCTTGGCATAGGTGAGTGAGTGCCTCCTGTGCTTCCTCACTTTCTTGAAAGATTTCAGTTTGTATTCCATCAATTCCTGATGCCTTGTTCTTTGCCAATTCCTTCATTGCGCCTTGGACTTCCTCCTTCAGTATCATTGGCTCTTGATAATATGCTACCTCTTGAAATGGTTGAACATTAACCATTTACTTTTGGTACAGTGACTCTGTGTATTCCTTCCATCTTCTCTTGATGCTTTCTTCATCATTCAATAATTTACCCAGAGAATATTTCAATAACGAAAGTCGAGGCTTGAATTTTTTCTTCAGTTCCCCCAGCTTGATATTATCCTATCACAGACAGTGTTGTACCTCATGACTGATCTGGATATGTTCTTTTTGACAATGAATACCACACCATTCCTCTTCAATTTGTCATTCCCTGTATAGTAAACCATGTGGTCGTCAGATTCAAAATGGCCAATACCAGTCCATTTCAGTTCACTAATGCCTAGGATATTGATGTTTATGCATTCCATTTCATTTTTGACAACTTCCAATTTTCCCAGATTCGTACTTCATACATTCCATGTTCCAAATATCAATGAATGTTTGCAGCTGTTTCTCTTCATATTGAGTTGTGTCCCATCAGCTAATGAAGGTCCGTGGGCTTTTCTCCATTTGCATCATCACGGTCAACTTTACTCTTCCCCAGTTGCATTTTGAGTGTCTTCCAACCTGAAGATCTCATTTTCTGGCACTATGTCTGATAGTGTTTCTCTGCTATTCATAAGGTTTTCATTGAGTAAATATTTGGAAATAGTTCGTCAGTCCTTCTTCCTAGTCTGTCTTCGCCTGGAGGCTCATCTGAAACCTTTCCACCATGGGTGACCCTGCTGGTATTTAAAATACCGGTGGCATAGTTTTCAGAATCACAGCAACTCACAAGCCACCACAGTACGACACACTGACAGATGAGTGGTGGCTCCAGTCATTGGTGTTCAAGAAATCAAACCGTGTCTTACAATGATCTGTAAATTCAGGTGGAATATACTCAAGATGGTATTTTTGCTCTCATTAGCTTGCTTTAATTTTAATTTTTATAAAATAGATTTTTTAAATATTATATATATGTATATATATTACATATTGTGCATATATGTGTGTGTGTAAATAATGAGGAAAGCTAAAAAGAAATCTTGAGAAATTCGTTCCTTGAGTTCAGATACATGAACTTTAAATCATCCTAGGAATTACTCTACCCATACATCCATTCTAAATCTAAATATCTAGAGCTATTTCATCATATATTTTTGCCTTATCTTTCCAAAATAAATCAAATGACTACATAAAATTATATTAGCTTAAAGTTCCGTTTAGTAGAAAGCTTTAAAATCATGTTGTACATGTAAAAACTTAGGATGTTTTCCTTGTATCAAAGGGAACAATATAAAAGGTAGCATAGATAGGAAAGAATTCGCTCCCATTCCCCAACTCCCTCCTTCTTTTCATGAGATTCAAGGTCATCACTGATGCAATTGCTTTTTAGCATCTTTTTTGTACATGATGAGAGAAGCAATTACAAGCGGTTCCCCTCTACATGACACTGCCCGAAGATGGGCAAATTGCATCTCTTGATGGATGCCAGCTATTATATACAGTGGGTTGGAAATCTCCATATAGGGAAAGGAAAATGAACAAAGGGAAGACTGAACAAAAATGCCAATAAAGATAAGTTGTTATGGAAAGAGAGAGAGTGCTAGTTAATTGTTCAAACCATATGAAATACCTGTGAATACATAAATGCTTTCACACATTCACACACACATAATAATGTTTCTTTACAAAGCGTAGAATCGGAAAGCAGGCTCTTTTCTGTGGGAGAGAAGAAATTTGGGTAGTTAATGCTACAGGGTACAAATTTATATGGCCCCATACTTGCTTGTGTTTTTACAGTAGGTTTATAAATCTAAAATATAAGCATTACTTGACTAAAATGAGATGTCATGAGAAAGAATCACTAACATTATTTCAAATGCTTTAGAAGAACATGGGGACCACCCAATAATACTGTTGTGAATTGAAGTTCTGCACATGGATTCTAGTCCTTCGTTGAGTAAGACGGAGTAGAGAAGAGGGGAGAAAGTGTGGCCATCAGCAGGCAGCCCGCCCCTTTAACGTAAGGGACATGTATAGTAGGGAACAGTCAAAAAAGTGCCTTCTAGAGTCTTTCTGGAATACTGTTAGGAAACATATGCTAGGTTTGAGAAATATATGCAAGTTAATGTTTATTACTCTTCACTGTGGGGTACGGGTGTGGTGCTGTTGGATAAGATAATAAGGTCGGTTTGAACCACAAGGCCAGTGGTTCAATCTCACCAGCTGCTCCTTAGAAACCTTATACAGGGTCACTGTGAGTCGGAACCAACTGGACAGCACTTAACAATAACAATAACAATAACAACTCTTCACTCTATTATGTTCTCAAGGAGGGTTAGTGTGCGACATAAATGTGTATTAGGAAAATGAAGTTTCACCTGCAAAAGGTAAAACCGTTTTTATTGTCGCCTAAAATTCCATTTTCACTAATATAGGCATTATGTACACTAAGCAAGTTTCTCAGAACATAATAGGCCAATGGTACATGTTTGTTTATCAAGTCTAGAAGTAGATCAGGTTGCTTTTCAAAATCGAGAGTTGGTACCACTCAGCATTGTTATCTCTGGCAATTAGCATAGTATCTGAAGCTTTAAAAGTATTGAAGAGATGAGCAAATGAACAAATGAGAGGTACAATTTCTAAACTAAAAGAAAACAAGAGTGAAATTCATTTTAGATTTAAAAAGTCACTGTTCTTATGAAATGAATTTTTTCAGGGAACCTCTGGAGAGACATTGTCCTTCTGCATATACGTATCTTGAGATCAGCTACATGATCTATTCTTGTTTTCCTCCCCAGGTGTGGAATCCATAGCATGTTCCCCTTACATTTAGCAGCCCTAAATGCTCACTCTGACTGCTGCAGAAAGTTGTTGTCATCGGGTAAGTATATCTGTTGTCAAAGATGAGGCTTAATGTGTCCTGTCAGTGAGTCACACGGCTTCAGGTGTGTGGTCAGACTGAATGGCTGTCTGTGCTTCGTGTCGTTACCTGAGTGGGCAGGGCAAGTTACGTACCACAGCTAACTGCATGTGAAAACTCCCAGCAGTTCATGGAGTGGATGTTGTTCAAATGTCAGTATACCCTCTCCTCACTTACTGTCTAGTCATCTGACATTTCTCATTTATGCCAGTAATAACAAATGTACCATGGGACTCTTTTTTGCATTATGACATATGCCTGGCAGCAACCAATGCCAGGATGGACAGAGAGAGTAATACAGACTGTGATGATTAGGGTTATGCATCAGCTTGCCCGGGCCATGATTCTCAGTGGTTTGGCAGTTATGTGATTTAACAGATATTTAATGATGCAATTGACCTCTGTTTTGTGATCTGACATTGTCATCCTCCATTTTCACAAATGCCTACTCTTTCTTGCATAATGAGTTGGTCTTTGGAACCTAATCATGTTGGTAAGTGAGGAGAGGTGTTGTGTTCCAGCCCTGGAGTATGAGTCTTGTCTGGTTTTCAAGTTAAAGCTTGGGTGATCTTTGGATTGAGAGAGAAGCAGCGATCTCTAGACCTTAAAAGAAGTTTTCAAAGAAGGAAAATGCATCTTTGAGGTTTAAAATGGTTCCTTAATATTTAATATTTTTAACAAAAGAAAAAAGGCCAAATTTCCCATATTTTAGTGGTTAAGAAAAAGGTTGTGTTGCCAGCCCACTCTGTGAGCTCTGAAAAAATCAATATAAAAATTAAACTATGTTTAACTAATTTTTTTCTAATGTGGGGTTACTTGGAACTCATAAATGCTTTCTGGTTTGCTAATTAGCTTTGCTAATCTTTCTTATCAATACATCTGCCAACCTCTATATACTAAGAAGTTCCTGGACTTTCAAAGGTGATACAGATATGCAGGCAAAGATTGTTTATGAATTGATTTATCAGATATCTCAGAGGCATTTTTTTCCCTTTAAGTACTTTGCCTATGGTTGATTCTGCTTTCACTGCTTTTGGCATGTTTAAAAACAATCCCTGCATGAAAGCATGTTTGCTCAATCTTAAACCAACTAAAAGCTAGGAATACGTTTAAGAAAATCTCTCTTCCAGCATGTTGTGACCACTCCTTTGCCTTCCATGTTTTCTCCATGTGTTCTGTCTGCCTGTCCGTTGCTCCACTTATCTCAAATTGGTTTCATAAATTTCTATCCTGTGATTGAAAAATGGGGCTGCGATTCATCCAGGGCTGAATGTGAAAATAAATTCTTCTTGACTTCACGGTTCTTCCTATAAAATTGCCAAGCTTGAGCAGTTACCATTCGTTTCCATGACAACCTCTTTCTGACTACAGTTGCTTGCATTCTGGTTTTTCTACTAACTGATTTTTCTGTCTCTGCAATGTTTCTTGTGGTTTAACTAGGACAAAAGTATAGCATAGTATCCTTGTTTAGTAATGAGCACGTGCTGTCTGCAGGCTTTGACATAGACACCCCAGATAAATTTGGAAGAACGTGCCTTCATGCTGCTGCTGCAGGAGGGTGAGTAGTTAGCCATCTCAGTTATTTCATGACTTATGCGTTTTAGCTGACTTAAGTTGTTTGTGAATGCAAGACACCTTCCTTAGTGAAATGGGTAAGAATCATTTCTAACAACACCAAATATCACTATTCTGGATTCCCGGATTATTCCCAATTTGCTTTTCTAAAGAAAAGTCACGAACTCATCTCTTAAAGTAAATTGGTTTTTCTTTTCTTTTCATTCACTTTCTTTTTTTCCTACAATCGTAGCTATTCAACATACAGAATAAATAACTACTTGGCACTCCCTCCACTGAAAGAAATTTTTTTTTTTTTTAATTTTCCACTTTTGTTGCTGGCAGGTGAATGACAATCAAGGGAATCCAAGAATGAATTAATTCATTTTCATTTACAGGCATTTTACCTATGTTTCCAAACTGATTTTTAAGTCTTTATAATGATTAAATGTGAAACAAAAGTCAAAAGAAAACCTAAAGGATAGGAAAGAAGTGATTTAAACTTTGCTTTTTTTTTTTTTTTTTTAACTTGCAAAGGGAATTTTTCATTAGATATTCTCTTTTTCATACCAGTGGCTACATTAGTGCTTTGATAAACAAATAGTTGATATGTGTCCTCACGTTGACCAAACATGGCTTCTCTTTGGTAACCATGTATGGATAAAGTATTGGTTCTTAATCAATTTCTTGTTCCCTAAGGCACAACAAAGCTTCTCTATTTCCCTCTGCATATTACCAAAGGTATAACCTATTCATTAGAGATGGATTGATCGTGAAGCTCTAGAGTCCCTTATTTGCATGCGTCCCTTCTAAGTTTCCTACCTTATTTTCTTTTCGTTAAAAAAAAAAAATTGTTTTGTATCCTTTTTTAATAGAACCTTCCCACACCCCTCAAATTTTATGAACTACAGAGCCACATAACTTGGGTTGGCCTCTTTGAACCTTTGGCATCACTTAGTAAGAGATGGATGCTGGATGCTTTATATGAACTGACATTGTGCTACACCAACATGTAATTGTCTTAGCAAGTTCTTATATTTTATAATGAAACACCTAATTCTCTGAATAAGATGAATATGAAGGTCGGGTTTGGAGTAAAGAGAGTCCTGTTTGGGGTTTTCATTAATGAAATAATTATTCTCATTTAAATTATAATAAAATAATGAATTCTAGGTTTTTTCATAGCATCCCAAGTTTAAATTCTAATAGATGATTATCTTTTTTCTATGACCACATTAAAAAATATACATAGCAGCCTTATACAGAAAGTGGCAACACATCATTTTGGATTCTGAAACTCCTATTAGAATTAATATTTAGCAACATGCCCTTCAAAAGGCAAGTTCTCTTCACTAGGTCTCTTTCTCTCTACTAAACATGATTTCTTGCTTCTGCAAATGACAAAGAAGCTTTGGAAGACCACAATTACATTACATCATTTTTGGCCTAGTCTCTGCACATTTATTTACCTAAATTACAAAGACAGGGAAATGTAGCTGTTTTATTTTCCATTAGGAGTGTCTGGGTCGAAAATGGTCATCATTCTGCAGTGATAAAAGGTAATGGGTGTCCACTACAGGTCATTCTTTAAAGGCAACATGGAAATATTATAGGGGCAAGTGCTTGTTTCATAAACTCTTGATGGTTTTGAAAAGGAATTTTAGGGTAAGCGAGGAAACTATCATTGAGAGGTTTAATTATGTGATAGTCATTAAATTCTTTACTCATTGAATTGATAATGTCTCACCAAGCTTTATAACTGACCTTTAAAAGGAATTTTAAGGACTTCAGATCCTTAAGATATGACATTACTCTAAAATGTGCAAGTTATATTTTTGTTAGATGAATTTAAACCTGAGGTTACCATTTCATCTTGGCCTGCACTCTGTAGAAAACAGCTCTTTGTGAAGATAATTGATATTCTCTTTTTCATACCAGTGAAAAAGAGCATCTTCCTAATGCTTTCCCTGTCTTTCTAGCAACATGGAATGTATAAAACTCTTGCAGAGCAGCGGAGCGGATTTCCACAGAAAGGACAAGTGTGGGAGGTATGTAATCTGGGAATGCTGTTTCAGGTGCCTCAATGAAAGAGTGGAGAGCAGTCTGTCTGGAAGTCCTGTGATGTTGAAATGATAAGCAGGGAAACTGGCTGGGAAATTCCACCCCCAGAAGGAAAGCCTTTCTTGTAGAGAACTACCACCAAAGCAGGCACCAACCACCAGGGAAGTAGCTCCTCTCACAGCTGCTAATTAGGAGTGTTCATTGTTTCTCTTGTCTTTTCCATTTTTCTTTAATCTCCCACATGGATATAGCTTAGGATGTTCTGGTTACAGCATAATACAACTCTCTAGCATTCTTGCCCCTCCAATGCAGAGCTGGCAACATCTGAAGCATTTTGTTATATTTATGGGACATTTTATCTTGGGATACATTTTTAGACATGTTTAAAACTTTGAACAACTACAGCAAAACAAAACAAAAAGTAGCCCCTTTGCCTATTGGAATGTTGTTGTTAAGTGCCGTCAAGTCGGTTCCGATCCATAGCAGCCCTGTGTAAGGTTTCTGAGGAGCAGCTGATGAGCTTGAACCTTGCAGTTCAAACGGCTTTGCAGTCTGACGCATTAACCCACAGTACCACACCAGGACTTTGCCTATTGGGATAGGTTGTAGAATTTTTCTTACTTTAACATAACTAACTAGCACATGGATATACAGACACACACACAGAGCTGTGTGTTTATATATATGTGTATCTTTTCAATTCCATTTTTTGTTTTCACAGTATTCTCTACTCCTGTCCACATATATTCTGAATCTTTGGGGTTTCTTCTCCTACTTACCTACTTAAAGCAACTTCAACTCATCTTCAAGATTCATGACAAGTGTCACCCCTTAACACTGTAGCAGGAACCCCTTGTCCCTGCTTCCCTAACACCCCATGTAGTCTGTTACTGCAGGACTCATCACTCTGTTCTAGTGGACAGTTTGTTTCCTTGTCTCTTTCCTCACGTGGCTGCGAGGCTCCGGAGAACAAGGATGAGGTCACTTTCTCTCTGGGCTCTGTCGAATGGTTGACACCTAATAATTTCCAGTCTCGTTAATTAAAATTCCAGCAGTACAATATGTAAAATATTTATAATTTCCTACTTTTGGACTAAAGATCCCACAAATTGACTATAAAATAAATGTACTTGAGAAATGATAAATGAATAATTCCTGAAATAAAGTTACTTTCTTTTTACAATTCTATTTGATCAGTCTAAAAACCAAACCCATTGACTCAATTCTGACCCTAAATATTGGTTGGGTACACAAGAAAGATTGTTAAATAATTGAGAACTAAAAATAAGTGATAGTTTTGTAGCGCCTGACTCTTTACAAGGTGGTGGTACATTCTGAATATTACTTAGTTTCTTCTAGTAAGTCTGTGGTGGTGTGGTGGGGTGATGTTTATTAACCTGTTTAATGGCTGACAAAGCCCAGCCCAAAAACACTAAACAATTTATTCAAATCCAGAGAATTTTAGACCTAGATGAGACCTTGGGGATAGCTGCCTATGACACAGAAGGGACATGGTTGGCCCAGCTAATACGTGTGTCCAGACTGGAGGCCAGGACTTCTGATTCCTTCTGCATTGTTCTTCTCATTGACCTGTATCCCCAACCTCAGGGAGCTAGTTTCTAGTTCAGTGGGAAATGAGATAATACACTAGTAACTCAAATTAAGGCAATGTGTGATGATAGCCCCACGAGAGACGGAGACAGGAGCTAAACAGTCTCAGAAGACAGAGAGAATTTTGGGAACCTAATGATGAGTCAAGTTTTAATGGGTAGAAGTGCTTCAGCAAAGGGTAGTCCAGATGAAGAAAGGAGCATGGGAAAATGGGCAAGAAGTGTGGACATGGCCACAGGTTGTTTGGATATAGTAACTGATAGATTAGGACTAGCTTGGGAAGATCTTCAATTTCAGGCTTAGGAATCAAGGGCTTTGTTCACTGAGGAGCTACAAAGCTGTGTAATCAGTACTGACATATGTGGGGACAGTACCTTTAAAAAAGAACCCTAGTGGCATAGTGGCTAACGCACTTGGCTGCTCACCAAAAGGTGATGGTTCAAACCCACCAGCCACTCAGCAGGAGAAAGATGCGGCAGTCTGCTTCCGTAGAGATCACAGCCTTGGGAACCCTATGGGGCTGTTCCACTCGGTCGTATAGGATTGATGTGAGTTGGAATTGACATGACAGATGGTTTAGTCTGGGAGAGTACCTTAGAAATCCAGCTTTTTATCCATATCAACTTGGAATTAGATGAGCAGCTAGATTCAAGCAAAGGAGACCAATGAGGATGGTACTGCAGTGCTTCAAATAAGCAATAATATAGTCCTGAACCATGGTGGGGACTAGGAGTGGAGAAGAAGAATCAAGCCCAGGGTAGATGACCTTGAAGCTTCAGTTCCACATTACATAGTCAAAGAAAGGCACGTGCACCATGAGAGTAGAAGAACTTTCTAGACCCCTAGAAATACAGGTGCCAGTCTTAGTGCCAGGGATGAGTCTGTGCTTCAGGCTTAATGACATAACCAATTGCTGTTTGTTTTCCAGGACCCCTTTGCACTATGCAGCTGCGAATTGTCATTTCCACTGTATTGAGACATTAGTGACCACAGGGGCCAACGTTAATGAAACAGATGACTGGGGAAGGACAGCTTTGCACTACGCTGCTGCATCAGACATGGATAGAAAGTAAACACAGCCTGCTCATAATTCCCCTGAGGGCAGGACTTGGGGAGCGGGGCAGGGGAGGTTTGCTAAGTTGTCTTCATACTACCTCATGGAAACTGATATGAAGAATCTTTCACCCAGAGCCAAAGGAGTTAGAATTGCTTCATCTCTAACCCCAGTTTTCCCGTTCTTCTCTCTTTATGTTTGATCCTTACATGTCACTGCACAATTACTTCACTGTTCTTGGGTTGAATGCCAAGTGGAACCATTAAGTCTGGTTTTCAGTTAGTTCAAATCTGTTGTAATTCATTTAGACACACACTGGAGTTCTCATCACCACTTAAGTGTTTTCATTTCCATGAAACTTAAATTAGTTAATATATATGCTAAAAATATACAAGTCAAAAATATCCACCTCTGCATAAACCCTGTAGTCTTCAAATGCATAAAACAGGCTCTATTGCTCAGAACCTTGGTCATGAATGCTCTTTCAGAAGCTAGAAAAGATGACGTTGATTATCTTGGACATGTCTGGATTCTAGGAGGCTAGACAAGGAAAGCAGAAATAAGTGTATCAGTTCAAGGGAAAAACTTGGGAGAAGTGCCCACAGTTTATGAGATTATTCTCAGAAGCTTAAGGTCAAGGCCTCCTTCAGAGGAATCTTTTTGGTGACCTGGTCTAGAGAGCTATTGAGTTCTGTGCTGCCGTGTGCAGTGGAATTGGTCCTGGGTCAGTGCTAACTGCTTACCCCTTCCAGCAATGGCTTTCAAACATTTTAAATGACGACTCACAGTAAGAAATATATTTTACATCATGACATATGTGTGTATTATATATGAGTATGTAACACTGAAACAAAGATTTTAGGAAACATTTATCATTACTAGGTGTGATGTTTAAAACATAAATTAACTGGTGACTGTAGCCCATGAAACTGACTTCACAATTCAGTACTGGATTATGATCCATTATTTGAAAAGCATGCTGTTCATTTTTCTCTTCATGCTTATATAATATTTCCAAGTCAGATGTAGCTCTTGGAATCTCACAGCCATGAAGTTATTAATGTGGCACATGTTTATTGAGTATCTGCCAAGTGCCAGGCTCTGTGCTCTTTACTTGAGATGAAGTGAGCAGGGATTAGGAAGGGAAGCAAGCTTACTATATCTGCTAAGACCTGAAAAAGATTCCTGGACAGTGAAGAATTATTCTGAGAGGTGAGGGATGATCAGAACTCTGTCTCTTGCCATATATGGGCAAGCAGCAAGGATTGTGGTAGGTGGCAGAAGAGTTTGAGCAAGGGCACCTCATTTTGACCTAGGTGTTTTAGATGTTTCTGGAAGGGTGGACAAATTGTTGTATTAATCACCCATACCTAGCTGTAAGTTTTAGTAAAGTCATGTTTCCAACTGGATTCCAATGAAAAGAATAGATTTACTAGAGAGCCTTGGAGAGAACTGTGCAGATACTCAATGAGAAACAGTGGTGCTTATGCATCTGGGTTGGGGGTAAAGATAATTGGGATATAAATTGCACCCATACCATTAACAACTTTGATATTAAAAAAGTTAACTGCATTTTTTTTTTTTTCTCCTATCCCATATGCTGAGAAGTAAGACCATCTTAGGAAATGCCCATGAAAATTCAGAAGAACTTGAAAGAGCCAGGGACATGAAGGAAAAGAAAGCCGCGTTGTAAGTGTCTTCTCAGTTTAAGAACAAGGTTTTGTTTCTGACAGTTTTGTCTGCTCTCTGGGTCTTATGGGGCCAGCCTACTCTTGTGGAGTTTAACTTGGAATCTTGAAGATGTGATGTGAGCTTGCCTTGAATGAAGAAGAAACTGTTCTCTGAATGCATCCTTTAACTCTGCTGTTTTCACACAGGAAGCTCTTTCTAAAATTGTAAGGCTTGCTGCAACCATCACTGTTGATTGGCCAGTGGTTTTTACGACCAGGTATCCTAAATATCAAGGAGCTACGGTAGCGTAGTAATTTAAGAGTCAGGCTGCTAATCTCATGGTCAGCAGTTCAAAACTACCAGTGGCTCCGCGGGAGAAAATGAGGCTTTCTGCTCTAGTACAGGGTCGCTATGAGTTGGAATTGACTCCACGACACATAAGCATCACCACCATCCTAAATATCATTTCTGACTCTCCCACATAACATGTGCTTGAGGGGACACAGGAATTTGACTCAGGGCCTTAGACTCTTCTTTCATTACCTGTGTAAAACTACTTATTGTTATTGTTAAGTGCCACGAGTTGATTCCGACCCATAGTGACCCTGTATAGGGTTTCTGAGGAGGAGCTGGTGAGCTTGAACCACTGATCTTGCAGTTCAAACGACTTTGCATTAGCCCACAGAGCCACACCAGGACTCCAAAACTACTTAGTAGCTCCTATAAATAAAGGGTCAGTCACTATGAGTTGGAACCAATTCAATGGCACTTAACAACAACACAACATAAATAAAGAATTCCTGGTGTGGCACTATAGGATAAGCACTGGACTTCTAACTACAAGATCAGCGGTTCAAACCTACCAGCCACTCCTGGGAAACCCTATATAGGGTCACTGTGAGTTGAAACCGACTTGACAGCACTTAACAACAAACAGATAAATAGATCCCTGGTGACACAGTGGGTTAAGTGCTTGACTGCCAAATGAAAAGTTGGTGGCTCAAATCCACCAACTGCTCCATAGGAGAAAGATGAGACCATCTCCTTCCATGAAGATTTGCAGCCTCAGAAGCCCTGTGAAGCAGTTCTATCCAGTCCTGTAGGGTCGCTGTGAGTCGGAATGGACTTGATGGCAGTGGATAGGTATAAATAAAGGGGGCATCTCTAGAGGCGCAACAGCTGCTAACTGAAAGGTTATGTTGAACCAACCAGCAACTCCACAAGAGAAAAGAGCTGGTCATCTGCTCCTGTGAACATTACAACCTTGGAAACAAGGTAAGTCAGTTCTACTCTATCATATAGGGTGGCTGTAGGTGAGAATCGACTTTGACAGCAAACAGCAACATAAATCAAAGTCTTGAGAGTTGGATGTGAAGTATACCAGTTGTACTCTCTCCTACACATCAGCTAGTGAACCGCACCCTGTTCCTGTACCACCTCACCCCAAGACTTAGCTGTTGCTGTGATGGGGCTAGTACATCGGAAAGCTCCTTGCCTTCTCTCTGCATTTCACGTCACAGTGGGAAGCACACACTGCCCAGTGGATCAATAACTTAAAAAACTGAGTAAATAAATGAACTGGTGCCCACAATTGTGCCCTGTACCTGTGGGACCCAGTGCTCTCCAAGTCTGCATACACAAGCCCTAACTTGTTCTTGTCTCCAGTTGTCGAGCAAACAAAGCAAAAAACAGTTGCCATCAAGTGGATGCCACCTGATGCTGACTCCCTGTGTCAGACTAGAATGTGCTCAGTAGGGCTCTCAGTGACTGGTTTACCAGGCCTGTCTTCTCTGGTGCTGCTGGGTGGATTCCAACTTTTAACCTTTCTGTTCGCAGTGAATGCTTTAACTATTTGCCTGTGGGTTCACTAAGGCTGCAGGGGGTGGGGACCACACCTGGTGACACTGTCATATTAACGCCCAATTATAATGACCCTTCAAATCACATGGGTCCATTTCCACTTGTTACAAGCACATGCTGGTATTTTTTTTTTCTGCTGCAATGTTTTTATTGTTGTTGTTGTTGTTAAGTGCCTGCCGTCGAGTCGGTTTTGACCCATAGCGACCCTGAATAGGGTTTCCGAGCCTGTAAATCTTTACGGGAGCAGATCGCCTCATCTTTCTCCCATGGAGCAGCTGGTAGTTTCGAACTGCTGACCTTCCGGATCGCAGCCCAATTCGTAACCACTTTTATAGTGGCTGATTTTGTCAGATTGTCTGGTATTTTCGCTACAATAGTGTGGTAATTTGTGTTTGTGAACCCATATTCATAACTTTTTTTGAGAATGAAGTATTAATAAAGGAAAAGAGGAAGAAAAATCCCCAAAGATTTCTGTTCAGTTACTAATAATGTTGTTTTCAGTGTAGAAAGATTTTACAACAGTTTTGTTGTTAGTGTTCATATAATCTAAGAAGCATTGTTGTTGTTTAGTGCTGTTGAGTCTGTTCCAATTCACAGCAACCATGTATAGGATTTCCAAGTGGTTGTCGGTCCTTGCAGTCCAGTGCATTATCCGGCAGCGCCACACCAGGACTCCAAGAAGTATTACATTTAAGCAATTTGTTGTTGCTGTTAAGTGTTACTGAGTCAGTTCTGACTCATAGTGACCCTAAATAGGGTTTCTGAGGACCTGATGATGGGTTTGAATCTCCAATCTGTGGCTAGCAGTCCAGTGCGTATGTATACCTATAACACCACACCAGGACTATATTTATCGTATATTATTCTGTGATTAAAATGGACAATAAACATCGCTAAAGAGTCTGTGTGGTCTGGTACGGGAGAAGGTCCACAGGGTGAGGGAGCAAGGGTGACACTACTGTGTTACCTCACTGCATGACACCAACCCTTGTGACAGCACTGAGTTTGCAACCAGGATTCCCTCCAGCTGCTGGAGGAAGCTCATTTTCTATGACCTGAATATTCCCTGTCTCACCTCCCACTGGGCCTTTCCTGTAGAAGGGTACAGTTCATGGGGTCCCATCCAGTTGTGGACATACTGTAACTACGGTCAGGGTGAAGCTAGAAATCATACCTGTGAGTAAAGCAGAATAAAGAGGGTTTTGCACTGTTGTTCTTGTTAAGTGCTGTCCAGTCAGTTCCAACTCATAGTGACCATGGATAGCATTTCCAAGTAGTAGCTGTTGTGTTTGAACTGTTTTACTATGTGGTTAGCAGTCCAGTGCTTATCCTACAGCACCAGACCAGGACTCCTTGTTTTGCACTGTTGTTGTTGTTGTTAAGTGCTGTCGAGTAGAATAATGATATTAAAAGGATGTGAAAATGTAAGTCCCTTCTACAGCAGAACTGCATGCTTGCTTTGAGCCTGAGGGCTCTTTTAGGCAAATAAGGGCTTTCCCTGCCTCTAGGTACACTACTATTGGTTTGCGCTTAGGTGCCAAAATCACTAGTTATGGTTCTGGAAGGAGGAAAGATAGGTATTCTCAGGTAAAACATGAAATTCATTTTCCGGTAGAAACATTGTACAGAATATTCAAATTCTGTAGCACTGTTATTATCTCACAGAGCCCTGGTGACGCAGTGGAGGTTAAGGAGCTCCACCACTAACTGAAAGGTGGGCCGTTGGAATCTGTTCTGCAGGAGAACGATGTATTCCATACAGGTTTACAGCCTTAGAAACTCCATGGGGCAATTCTATTATGTCCTGTAACAGTCGAATACAGTGAGCTTATTTTGGGTTTGGATGTACTAACCCTATTTGTACTACCCAGCCACTGTCCACTGCCATGGATTCGTTTACAGCTCATAGCAACCCATACAGTGTTTCCAGGAGTCCTAGTGTGGCACTGTGGGTTAATGCGCTGCACTGCAGAATTGGTTTGAACCACAAGACTGGCGGTTCAAGTGCACTCGCCACTCCTCAGAAACCCTATACAGAGTCACTATGGGTCAGAACCGACTCAATGACACTTAACAACACAACAACATAGTGTTTCCATGGCTGTAAGTCTTGGAAAAGAGGAGCAAAAAGCCTCATCCTTTTCCCACGGAGTGGCTGGTGGGTGTGAACCTTAGCGTTAGCAATCCAGTACATATCCTATCATGCTATATCATTGTTGTTAAGTACCATCAAGTCATAGCAACCCTGCATAGGGTTTCCGAGGAACAACTGGTGCGTTCGTACCACTGATCTTGCAGTTAGCAGTCCAGTGCTTATCCTACAGCACCAGACCAGAACTCCCACAGTGCTATAGTTCAGCTGGCTTCTGGCTTCAGCAACTCTTTGGGAGCAATTCCAAATGCTTTCCAAATTCCACACAGCCCATTTATCAACTGACTTTCATAGTAATCAGTTGAGAGGTTGGGGACTGTGTGCCCATCACAACACTATTCCTGTGGAATGATTTCTTTAAAGGGATGAAATTTGGCTGAAAATGAGTCATACTTAGGATCCTGTCCCTGAGCATTTAATTTTCAAAACAAAGAACTTCCTTATAAGGTGCAAATCACCAAAGACAACATCATAGCAGAGTTCCAATAATAGCTTGATTCACTATGGAGTATTTAATGGATAAATTATATGACATATAACTATTTGGTTTTAAATTTTGTCTTTCATCAATTTTCTTGAAATTAAAGTATATGTTTTAATTATCTATGAGTGATTTGTTTGTGGAAGCAGCAGTCAAGATACCAAGCGTAGTGGTTATGAGTCAGGCTGCTAACCTCTAGGTCGGTATTTCAAAACTACTAGCTGTTCTCAGGAGAAAGATGAGTCTTTCTGCTCCCGTAAAGATTTACAACCTGACTTGGAACTGACTCCACGGTACTTAACAACAACAACATTGCCTTGGGCAAATCTGCTGCAAAAGACTTCTTTAGAATGTTAAAAAGTAAATATGCTTCCTTGAGAACTAAGATGTGCCTGACATGGTATTTTCAATTTTCATACGTATGTGAAAGCTGAACAGTGACTAAGGAAGATCAGAATTGATGCCTTTGAATTGTGATGTTGACTAATCTTAGTAACATGGGCTCTACAAGTGCATGCATGGATAGACATGCTAGCTGATAGGGTGTGAAAAGGAGAGAGGGATTACACCCATGCATAGGGCTAACAGACGATAGGAGTCCTGGTGTGGCGCTGTAGGATAAGTACTAGACCACAAGGTTGATTTGAACTGCAAAGTTGATGGTACGGACTCACCAGCAGCTCCTTGGAAACCCTATACAGTGTTGCTATGAGTTGGAACTGACCTGATGGCACTTAACAACAACAAAGGATAATGTCTGCATGTGTAGTTACCTATGCTACAAATATATGCATGTATGTGGTGGCACATACAGAGAACAAAGGTCTGAAAACTTCTTAGACGTAAGCAAACACCTTGAGGAAATGAGTCTGGTGCCTGGGGACACTGGGATCAACTGGCATAACATAGTCTACAAACACAATATTTTATATTTACTTTGGTAAATAATGACTTGGGTCTTCAGAGTTCATGAATAGCCATCTAAGGTGCAACTGTTGGTCTCTCCCTGTCTGGAAAAAAGAGTGAAGAAAATTAAAGACGCTTGGAAGCAATTAGTCCAATAGACTAATGAGCCATGTGAACATCAGCCCCTGAGATAAGAAGACCCTGAGATCAGAAGAATTATATAATGTCTGGCTATGACTACCAACTTCTTTGAAAGAGATCACATTAGAAGGTCCTGGGTAGAGTGGGAGAAAAATGTGGAAAAAACTAAAAATCGTTTAAAAACAAAGATCAGGCTTAGTTTTTGGATAGAGATTTGTGGCACCCCCCAAGACTTTGGTCCTTCATCACTCTTCAAGTCTGAAAATGAACGAACTCCTATGGTTCAATTTCCAATAGACAGGTCTGTAAGGGGAGTAATAACACTAGGAATGCACATCTTAGAATAATCAATGAGTTACAATCAAAAGGGCAGCATTTACTCAGGGACAAAGTTCAGAAGTGTTTGGAAAGGAGGAGAAATGGAAATAGGCAACACAGGCAAGAAGTGGGATAGTGACGGTACCTTGTGGGGATTGCAATCAGTAATAGGAAACAAAATGTGTATGAATTTCTGAATGGAAAACTAATGTGTTCTGTAAACTTACACCCAATCCACAATAAAAGTTTTTTAAAAGAAGAATTATGGTATTGGGGAAGGATACTGAAAATACCATGGCTTGCTAGAAGAACAAATAAATCTGAGGAAGAAGTACGACCAAAATGCTCTTTAAAAGCAAGGATGGCCAGACTTTGTCTGTGTACGTTGGACATGTTATCAGGACATCATGCTTGGTAGCGGATCAGTGGGAAGGAGGAAGACCCTTAATAAGATATAGTGATACAGTGACTACAGCAATTAGTGACTGAGGATGGTCCAGGACTGGACAGTGTTTCATTCTATTGTACTTAGGGTCACTATGAGTCAGAACAAACTCATAGCACCTAACAACAATGAGAGATTTATTATTTTATTGCCAAAAGATAGGTAAATGTCATTGAAATATTTTTATATAGACTGTAGAAATTTTCTGCTGGAAGATCTTGTCTAATGTATAGATTTACATTTATAATCTTGAAATTTTTACTTGATTAGGAAATGGTTCAGCTTGTAAAGGATATGCATGTTCCCCTAGCATAGAAAAAATACTGAGATTCTGGAATGTTTCAAAATAATACTATAATTCTCTTTAAACCTTTCAGAAAAATTACAACTGTTGTAAGGGTTGTTGTTTTTTTTAATTTATTATGTCTAGCCTATATTCCTAATGATGCATTGTAAGTGCCCCTTTCTTCATACATAGGCACTGAATTAACCCTTTATAGTTAAAAAAATATTTACTCATTCCTTTAGTCTTATTTTTAAGTTATTCTTACGTTCTTTCTTTTTATTACATTTTCTTTCATTTTCTAACCTTTTGGTCTTAGAGTCTCTAAGACCAGCCAAACCAAACTCATTGCCATGGAACTGGTTCTGAATCTTTGTTGTTGTTGTTAAGTGCCATCAAATCAGTTCCAACTTGACCCAGTATAAGGTTTCCAAGGCATAAATCTTTATAGGGAGTCCTGGTGTGGTGCTGTAGGAAAAGCACTGGACTAGTAACCACAAAGTCAGCAGTTCAAACCCACCAATCACTTCTTGGAAACTCTGTATAGGATCACTATGAATCAGAACCAACTATACAGCACTTAATAACAACAACAAATCTTTACAGGAATAGAAAGCCTCAGCTTTCTCCCACAGAGAGATTGGTGGGTTTGAACTACAGACCTTGTGATTACTCAGTCCAGTGCTTATCCAGTAGCACCACCAGGGCTCCTTAGAGTCTCTAAAAGCAAGGTTGAAAATAAGCCCCTGTTGCTATGGCCTAACCTTTTATCACATTTGAGATTTTTTTGTCATGTAAACATGAACCTTTAAAAATTTATTATTCCATAATCTCAGGGGATCAACTTAATTACCCTCTTGTTCATGAAGCCTCGTCTGAATTCTAGAATGCCTATTTTAAACTGAGATAAAGCCTATGAACATACACATACACACCTTAAGGCTTTGTTGCTGTAGGATTTCTTTTAAAAATAACCAAAATACTTCATAAAACATGCATAAAAAGATGTAATTTACATTGATTATCCCTGTTGACTCAAAGATGTTTTCGAAATAATACTTTGTTTTTATGTTTACAGGTGTTTAGAGTTTCTGCTTCAGAATGATGCAAACCCATCTATCCGGGACAAGGAAGGATACAATAGTATTCATTATGCTGCTGCCTTTGGCCACAGACAGTGTCTGGAGTTGGTGAGAATTTCGTTTTGTTTTCCCTCACATAAACTCACATACACACACACAAACCTGAAATTGCTACTGGTAATGTCTTAACAAATGCCCTCATTGCCTAATTAATTAAATCACCACTAGAAATCTCCTTGAAGATAGTCTCTGATAAGCAATTAAACTGATTCACTTTATTATGTATATATAGATCTGCTGATTCTCTTTCAATCCTTCCTAAATAAATGGATTCTTTTCACATTAACTTGGACTGGGATGTTAGCTCTGTGTACAAACACAGTTTGTATTTTAAAGATAGTTAAGATGTATCAAATAAACAGCATATATTTCCAGAGACAAACTTCATATTGCAGTGTTCAATAATAGTGTTTATATGTAAGGAGCCTTCGTAACATAGTTGGGATTCTAACTGCAAAGTCAGCAGTTTGAACCTACCAGCCATTCCATGGGAGAAAGATAAGACTTTCTATTCCCATAAAGATTTACAGCCTCAGAAACCCTACACAAGTTCACTATGAGACGGAACTGACTCCAGGGAAAACCATTATCACCACCACCACCACCAGTGTTATATACTGACTCACATAACTGTTAGTTTTATGCATGTGTCATGGTGATGTGAGATTTGCTGCCCATTCCCCACTGGACATCTAATTGCTTTAGCGTATTTATGTTGCAGAGAGAATTTTTCACTGAGGATAACACTTTCTTCTAAAATAGTGGTTATGATAGTAGTGTAGGCTCCAAAACTGCCTTATGTCAGAATCCCAGCTTTGTTCCCTTATTATCTGACCTTGGGCAGACTTCTTAACCACTCAAAGAAACAGTTTTCCCATCTGCACAGTGGAGATCAGTTAATGCCTTTATCATAAGAATGTCAGAGTGGACGTGATGTATGCATGTGAAACACTTAGCCTGGTCTATAGTATTTGATAAGTGTCCCATTACTATAAAAGTAAGACATTTTTTCTGAGACAGCTGAAGGTAAACGGATTTTAGAATACCTTGAACATAGTATGTGTAGTTTAACAAAAGATACTGGCAGAGGCACAAACAGCAGAATCTACTGAAATTTGAAAACACTAAAATTTTGAAAAACCTATCATGATCAAAGAGTCCTGGTGTGGTACTGTAGGATAATCAGTCGATTGCAAGGCCAGTATGAAACACAAACCAGCTGCTGCCTGGAAACCTCTGGTTTTGAGGTCTGAAAAGTCCCTGTTTGTAATAGATGGGACACAAGTTCAAATACCCTCACAGGAACTAGAAAGGTAAAGTAAATAAGCGAGCCCAGTTGGAAACAACAGGAATAATGAGGATTGTGGGAATTAGCACATGTTCTGTCTAAACCAAGAAGCAGTTAGCTGCTCTAAACGATTGAGGCCAGCGGTTGCTAGATCTCCAGTGATTAAAGAGAAGTCTGGACTTACTACATGAGATTTCCTGATTGGACAACACTGGGTGATCTAGAGTGGACGGTAGGGAGAATGAGACACTCACGACTGAATCTTGCTTTCAGGCCAACATTTTGCCACTGTCTGAGTCTCACTTTTGGTTAAGTTATACCAGGAACACTGAATATCTCAAATTCACTCTTCTCTGGTCTAATAAGGAGCTCTGGTAGTATAGTGGTTACGCATAGGGCTGCTAATCTCACAGTCAGAAGTTCAAAACTACCAGTGGGAGAATGATGAGGCTTTCTGCTCCCATAAAGACTTAATAGCCTTGGAAACCCTATGCAGGGTCATTATGAGTAGGAACTGACTCTATAGCAGGCACATAACCACCACCACCACCACCTCCTCTCCTGACTGGACTCCAACAACTTTCCTTGTCCCTTTAAAAGAAGTGTGACTTTTCAGAGTTACTCAGAGGTCTATCTGGGGAAACACTTGAACTTCTTCAACTGCAAAGTCTATTAAGAAAGATATGAAGCAGAAAGGTAATGAGCAAATGGTATTCAGTGTCTACATAAAAATGACTGAACACTCCCCATCTATTTCCTTTACCTTTGACTTTGCTGCTGCTTTCATATAGCTCCATTTAGGGTCATTACTATATTTCTTTTAACTACGAATGTGGGAAAATTCTCATAAAGGTCACCAAATTTAGAAATAAAAATCGATTATTCTGGTGGTGGTTTGTGCTGCATGTGTTGGTGAATTATCCTGTTTCTTTTTTAAAATATTTTATTGTGATTTGGATAAATGCTTGCAGGGAAAATTAACTTTCCATCGACTGTAACACATTTTGTGTCATGTTGTTAATTGCATTCCCCTCAATGTACCAACACTGTTACCACTCCCTCCCTGTGTTTCCCTTCTTTCCTGGCTCTTTCCTGCCTCTGCACTTTGTTTTGGGGCAAATGCCGCCCTTTTGGTCTCTTGTTGTGAGAGCCACGTTCCTCACAGGTGGGAATTTGTACTGTCGAGGCTGTGTGTTCCTTGGCGGAAAGTGATCTTCAGGAGTGCGCTCCCTTCTAGGTATGAAGGCTGTGCAAGGTTCATGGTCTCAAGGGTCCCACCAGTCTCTGTCAGACCAGTAAGGCTGCTCTGATTTAGGTTTTGGAACTTTAATCTACACCTCTTGTTCCCGCTCTGTCTAGAACCTTACGCTGTGATCGCAGTCAGAGTGACGATAGTGGTAGCCCCCTAGTTTTTGGAGTCTCAGGCTAGTGGTTGGTATATTATTCTTGTGGATGCTAAAAATCATATCTGACTTTGTGGGTGGCTTCTTTTTTCACCCCCATCATAGTTTCTGTTCCAGTTTTTATGAGTAAACAAAACAAAACAAAAAACACTCCAAAACGTAGTACTGTAACAGAACAATAATTGTTATCTTTTACTGTTTTTGTGGATCAGGAATTCAAGAGCGGCTTAGTAGTGCATTTCTAGTTAAGTTGTTGTTGGTGTTATGTGACTTGTTGTTGTTATGTGCCATGGAGTTGATTCCGACTCATAGTGACCCTGTTCAGGGTTTCCGAGGCTATAAATCTTTATGGGAGCAGAAAGCCTCATCTTTCTCCCACAGAACAGCTGGTAGTTTTGAACTGCTGACTTTAAGGTTAGCAGCCCAATTTATAACCACAACTGGGTAACCTTAAAGTCTTCTTTACTTATGTGTTTATTTCCAGGGCTAGGAGACTCAAACAGCTGAAGTTCAGTGGGCTCCTCTGTCTCCATGTGATTTCCTCACATGGTTTCTTCAACATGGTGGAGCCTTACCTGGTGACTTAGCGATCCAAAAGCCTCTCTGTAGAGAAAGAAAGAGAAACCCCATATAACTTTTTGTGATCTAGCTTTGGAAGTCAGGGAGTGTTGCTTCTGAACTATGTATGTTGATAAAGGCATCTAGGCACAAAATGCAGCCCACATTCAAGGACAGGTAAAGTAGAATCTACCTTATAAAAGGAGAAGTGTCAAGGAATTAGCTTGGGTCAGTAGAAAAAATGGGCCCCCAAATCAGGATGCCTAATTTTCAAATGAAATGTCTACCCTACCACCAGATTCTGATTTCATTGTAGGTTAAAGCCTTACCTCGCTTCCCACCACCATCCTTGGCTTTGAGAACACAAGCTTGGTAGGCATTGGTTAAAATATAAGGCAATATTATTTATCTCCCTGTCACCAGCACTGCCATGGAAGAGGCTTTGGACCTATTAGTAAATGTAGCATTATGTCTAGATCCCAAATAAAAAAGACTTTAATAGTGTATGAAGTAATAAGTAGCAGGGTGAGGTCTTACTGCTGAAACTACCTATTGTCGAGTTGGTTCTGATCCATAGTGACCCTGTATAGGGTTTCCAAGAAGTGACTGGTGAGCCTGAACCACCAACCTTGTGGTTCAAACCGACTTTGCAGTCCAGTGCATTAGCCCACAGCACCACACCAGAACTCCTAGGAGCCTGCCTTTCAATATGTACTTAAAATACAGCTGCCTTTAATTGGTTTCTCTATGAAAGCCATATGTCATCAATGGATATGTAAGGAGCTCTGGTAGCATAGTGGTTACAAATTGGGCTACTAATCTCACGATCAGCAGTTGGAAACTACCAGCTGTTCCATGGGAGAAAGATGAGGCTTTCTGCTCCCGTAAAGATTTACAGCCTCGGAAACCCTGTACAGGGTCACTATGAGTCAGAACCGACTCCACGGCACATAACAACAACAACAACAAGCACTTATTACAAATTTGTTATTGTAGACTTAATAACTTGTACTGTTTTAAGGAACTTTAATAAAGTTATCTCTCATTCCATAGCGTTGTTGTTGTTGTTGTTAAGTGCCGTCAAGTCATTTCCGACTCAGAGCGAGCCTGTATAGAGTTTCCGAGGAGTGACTGGTGAGCTTAAACTGCCGACCTCGCAGTTCAAACGGCTTTGCAGTCTGGCGCATTAACCCACAGTGCCACACCAGGACTCCATAGTGTAGTATCTATGAAAATAATTAACCATCCTGTAACACCTTCTTTCTATATAAATAATATTTAACACATTACGTTTAGTTTTAGGAAAGCCTTTTGGGGTTACTATTTCTGTTATCCAACAAAAAAGGTTTTCTTTCCACAGAAAATTTCATAAATTCTGATGGATAATGAAATTTGATGAGATCAGCACCTATTCTCTAAGATTTACCGAGAGATGGTTATGGCAATTCTAAGACATTCAGAAGCAGGTAGTGGAGGCTGTGTGAACTGGATCTGAAAAGGACCAGGTTACCAGTATTAACTGGTAGGAGTGGCACCACTTTTAGCTTTGGGGAAAGAATCCCATTGGATCATTTATAACAAAGATGTGGTGGAAATTCCCCTCTCATTTTCCAGAATGATTATAGTTGGTTTAAAAATTCAATATATGTTCCCTCTCTCTATAGGAGTCCAAGAAAGACCCTCTTTTCCCTTAAACTTCTAGTTCCTTGGGTACTGTTGTTGTTGTTGTTAAATGCTGTCAAGTCAGTTTTGACTCAGTAACCTTTTATAGGGTTTCCAAGGAGTGGCTAGTGAACTTG